GAGAACAGCCAGGCACCCATGGACCAGTGCCGCCAGCAGAATCCTGACCACACTGTCAGCTTCCAGGAAGATAGCCTCAGACACTGTGGCCAGCTCCACTTCCTAGAAGCTCCGCAAGGGAGAAATGATATAAAAGCGGCTGCCAGGTGGCTCCAGACAACCAGCAGGAACATCAGTGGGGGAGAGTTGCAGAGGACAGATCCTGATCCTGGGCCAGCAAGGGTGTCCCACCACCCGCCTGGAGGGCCCAATCACATCCAGGCCCCCGCGCCCTCCTCAGGACGGGTGTCAGACACAGGGCTCATGGTTTGCGAGCTCCACTGGAGCAGTGCAAGACTCTCCAGAACAGGACTGACTGGGAGAGAGCCTGTGGCAGGCGCAGTGGGGCTGGGATGAGCAGGAGTGGCAGGTGGCATTCGACTGCAGGTTTTGTCCCGATTCCTGCAGGCCGAGCAGAGAAATTCGACCGGTGAACCAGGCCTCTAGTATTATAATAACTATGTGTGGTGACAGCTGGGTTCTGAAAATATCAGGGGGAACACTTTGTAAAGTATATGATTGTCCAGTCACTATGCTGTGCACTTGACCCCAATGTACAATAATACCTGAAATAAAGTGTAATTTTAAAATTAAAAATAACGAAATTGAAATTTAAAAAAGACTTACCGATTTGAATCATGGGGGAGCAGACGTGACCACAGACCTCCCTGATGCACTGTTCTCCTTGCCCACAGTCCCTGCCTGCTCTGCATTGGTGCTCCCAGATGCCTGAGGAGAGGAAAGACTAGTTAAAAGCTTTTAAGTCTTACACTTGAAGAATAAAATTTTAAATGCCTTCACAGTGTCATCCAAAAGTCAATCTATTACCTAAGTATAAATCTAACAAATTATATTCAGAAAACTACATAATATTACTAAGAAAAAACTGAAAAGATCGTAATAAACAGAGTCGTATATGGTGTTCATGGATTAGAAAATTCAAACATGAAGATATAAGTTTTCTCAAAATTGAAATTTAATGTAATTCCAGTGAAAATCTTAGATTTTTAAATGAAAATTCATAAACTAATACTAAAACTTATCTGAAAGTCCTAAAAATCAAGAATAATCAGGACAGTTTTTCCTGTTTTATTATCAGTTACAGTTGACATACAATATTACATTAGTTTCAGATGTACAACATCCTTAAAGACATTTATATAACTTCCAAAGTGTTCACCCTGAATTAAGACAATCTAGAGCAAAGTTGTTGGGGTTGGGGGGCAGGGAAGGGGTGGAAGAAAAAGATGAAATTAGATAAGTTTATTATGACTATTACTCATAGTAGTTCACTTACAGATAATCATCCACAATAAAAGAAGGGAGGAAAGGTAATATTTAAAGGTGCTAGTATAAGATAACTATTACAACAAAAATATAAACCTTTCTAAATACAAAACATATAGTAAGCCCGGGTCCCTGGTACCAGAGGGAAGCTGGTGCCCACAGCCAGGGGAAGGAAGGCCTACTCTTGCACGAATTTTATGCATCAGGCCTCTAGTATGTCATAAAAATAATGCCCGGAATTTTCTTCAAAATAGCATGAGATGAAGGGACATGAATAGGATTAAGAAAGAAGAATGATTACACATTAACAGTGGGTGAAGCTGGGTGATGGGTATGTGGTATATCATTATACTATTCTGTCTGCTTTGAATGTGTTTACATTTTCCCATAATAAAAAGTTTAGCCGAAACCGGTTTGGCTCAGTGGATAGAGCGTCGGCCTGCGGACTGAGAGGTCCTGGGTTCGATTCCGGTCAAGGGCATGTACCTGGGTTGCGGGCACATCCCCAGTAGGAGATGTGCAGGAGGCAGCTGATCCATGTTTCTCTCTCATCGATGTTTCTAACTCTCTATCTCTCTCCCTTCCTCTCTGTAAAAAATCAATAAAATATATATTTAAAAAAAAAAGTTTAAAAATAAACTATTTGTCCTTACAAACAAAGCTCTATTAATTAATCTTCGATTAAAATAGGACCTGTCAAATTTCTCCCAGGTCCTGTAAGGACTGAGACCCAGAGTGTATACCTCAGTGAGAAAGTCCTCCTGAAATAAAATAGCACATTTCCCAACTCCATAGCCAACATTCCCATTCTGATCTACTCACACTTCCCACACAGCCTGTCCAAACAGCTCATGCTGCACCTAGCCCTCACACACTGAGATTTGGTTAAATGATTATTTGGTGAAAGAATGTGGAAATAAGCTAACTTTCAGTGTAAACTGGGCTGGGAGAGCTGTTAAGTGCAAGAGTGGACTGGTTGTTATTGGCTTATTGGTTCTATGGGTATCATTTTTTGTTTTCTCAATCACTTTGCAAGGAGTGGATATGACTTCCAAGAGAATAAGGCTTTCGGTTCATTCCATCGAAAGGCCCTTTGTGGGATCTGTGATGTTTTTTTTCTCAAAGTCAAGGGCTCATTTGGAAATAAGAAACAAACTTTGTCCTGATCAGTGTGGCTCAGGGGTTAAGCATCGACCTAAGAACCAGGAGGACATGGTTCGATTCCTGGTCAGGGCACATGCCCAGGTTATGGGCTGGATCTCCAGTGGGAGGGTGTGCAGGAGGCAGCCAATACAGGATTCTCTCTCATTATTGATGTTTCTATCTCTCTCTCTCCCTTTCCCTTCCTATCTAAAGTCAATGAAAACATATACTTTTCTAAAAGAAACAAACTTTGAAAGGCATTGCCTCCAGGGATACCTTCCTACCACTATCTGTTAACAGACTTCCAGAAGAGCAAAAACCAGTGCAAGAGGAACAGCCCAAGTAAGCAGACCTTATGCATGTGCTACGCCTTGAGTGTGCTCTGGAGCTTGGCATTTCAAGAAGGTAAATAAATAATCACATAAAAAAGAGCACTTGGAAAAGTCTTTCCCAAAACAGGCTTTTATATGACTTCCTTGTCTAAAGTATGAAGGCACTGATGGTGAGGGCAAAGACTCAAAAGCTACCTGGCCAGGTTGGAGGAAGTCTCAGATTTCTGTGACCCAACTACACACATAGGTACATTGCTGCTGTGTTAGGGAGGTGGGGCCAACTCTACTTTATGGCATAGAATTGGGGAATGATGGGTGGTCAGGAGGCCACACATAGGCTGTACATGGGAGAAGCAGCCAGCTCAGAGGTGATAAAGAGATTTGGCTGACTGAAAAATGCCTACCAAATATATACATGTAATTCTTCATTTTTAAAAATATAAATATGGGTGGGCAGTGGAATCCCAAAGGGTTCTGGGAAACCTTTCCTTTAAAGCTTATAAAGCCCGTTGCAGATGACGGTGTGGAAAGAGAAAAGACCCAGTCAATGCCCTTTTGCTCCACCCTCCCTGTCCTGCTGTTAAATATGAAACATAGATAATCCATACATGACCTCTATTAAGACTGTAACACCTGACCAGGAGAGCCCTGCCAGTGAATATCTTCCCTCTTTCGGAGAGAAGGTCAGCATGGTACAGGGCATGGAGCATTTACCTAAAAGCCAAGCAGACATGGAGGAGAAGACTGGCTCCTCTACTCATTAAGAGTGTTGGGTTTGAGTGATTTTGTTTGGTGGTTGAGCATTGACCTATGAACCAGCAGGTCATGGTTCAATTCTGATAGGAGCACTTGCCCAACTTGTGGCCTCAGTCCTCAGTGGGGGGCATGTGGGAGGCAACCAATTGATGATTCTCTCTCATCATTGATGTTTCTATCTATCTCTCCCTCACCCCTCTTCTCCCAGAAACCTTTAATAAAAACAAAATTTTTAAACAGGAGTGTAATGTTGGGCAAGTCATTTAGCTACTTGGACCCTCTGTCTCTTCATCTGTAAAATTTACAAAAAATTCTGCTACTGAGATGATATCATAGAGTTGTGGTGAGTGTAAAGTGAGATACTACATGTGAAAGTGCCTGTGCTGGTGAGTGTTAATTATCCTCCTCTAACATATGGCCACAAAATCTGGGTGACCACAGAGTCTGACACGTCTGCATGCCTACAAAACCTGTATAGACTTCAGGACTAACTAAAGGTCAGAAACAAAAGTGGACGTTGTAGGATGCCATCCTCAAGTATCTTTGCAGGGGAAGGTCATACCTTGGCACTCAGAATGGCAGATAATAGGTGAAATTGTTTGACAACATGGTATGGGTGTGCTCATGAATCCCCAGTAATGACCAAGAGAGACAGACGCAGGGTGGGATTAGGGGTGTGGTTGACCTGCCAGTAAAAGAAGATATAAAAGCTAATATGCCCTCATTCCAATGCAAATGCTGGCGAGGCCATGGGCCGCCGGGGTTATAAGATGTGCTAGACAGCAGGGACAAGCAGGCAGGGCAGACCATGGCAGAGGCTACGTGGGGCAATCGAGGTGGAAAAGTGAACAGAGAGCGCTGGGAGATGGAGCTTGTAGGGTCAGCCCAGACCATCGCTTTTGTCAGGGCTTCTAAGGGAGACCCAGGCTTATCCTCTGCCTCAGGAAAACTCTGAATCAAAGACTCCAACCACAGAGCCTATGTCCCAACTTATCCTAACATCTAATCACTTCCCAGCCCACGCCACTCAAAGCCCCACATTCCAAGGGCCAGGGTTGCTCTCATAGTGTTAGGCATCCAGTCCTGCTACAATGTCAGTGTATTGCCTTAGAATAGATTATCTCCACAGTTGCGTCTGCTACTACTCCTTCTGAGTCAGCCCTAATAGATGCTGCTACTATAGACCTGTTATGTGCTAGGCCATTTTTTTTCTTGACCAAAATCATATTCACAGAATGCTTGAGAAAATATTATGATGCCCTGTGCCCTGTTTAGATACATGGACATGGAAGGAGGAAAGCAACTAGCTGGCAGACTTTGCCTCTGATCTATCCTGAGTGCCTTGTATTCATGGGTTCAGTACAGGGCACACAATCCGTTCTGTTCATCTACAGAGGGTCCACTAGAAAGAATGTCTAAATGAGAAGAATGACACACTCTCAATAATGCCACAGATAAAATTTATTTTGGATACAAGCTCTTTAGAATCAGCCACTCCACCATTTTAGATCTTCATCTTCTGAGACTGCACGTCAAGGGATAGGCACTTGCCAAGAATGGTGTGTGGAAAATGTTATGCCAAGCACTGGATCCATGCATTCATGAGCAATCTTCTGCGGCTGGTCTCCAGGCACGCTTACATCCCCCATTCTTCCTCCACAGGGTCATCAACACCATCCTTTTAAAATATAAATTTCACCATGACATTTCCTCTGCTCAGAAACCTCCAGCAGTAAACCAAACTCTTTGGCAAGGCAGCTCATTCCTTTCTGGACCCTGGCTTGGATGATCCTCTCCTGAGATGTTGCAACTTCTACTGACCACAATCTCAATCACTTTCCCATCTCCAGCGTAGGACCCACATTTCCCCATCATCTGTACTGCCCTTCCTTACTGTGGAAAACTGTATGCCTCCTTTAAGCTGTTCCTTAAAAGGTCTCTACTCTCTGACAATCTTACCAACCTGCACTGATCCACCCACCGAGGCGAAACCATAACTCTTCCCTGTGCCTCCACAGACCTTAGTAGAAATTTGTGCAAAGCTGTGGTCACCCTGGGTTGTAATTATCTACATAGTTCTGTCTCCATGAACTAGCTGTGTTTACCTTTTCATCTCAACTTCAGCACAATGCCTGACTGACACAGGAGATACTCCATAATTGGGGTTCTCCTTCCTTTCCCTCTGCCTCCCAGGATCACCCATTTTCAAGGAAGAGTGAAGCCCCCTTGGTGGGGAAGGGGAAGGAGGGTAACAAACCCAGGGTCAGTAATGACCTGTGAATCTCGGATCATGGTTACTTGTCTCAACTGAGAGCCCCCTCGGGGACAGAGACAGGGATAGGGCTTCACTTCGAGGAGAGGGTCTTAGATAATGCAGCCAGGTGTCCTTCTGCCATTCACTTCCAACCTCTTTCTCTTGGAGTTACCCAGATTATTATGTGCTGTGCACATGGGAACATCCATTGGCCCCAGGAAAGTCCACTGGGGAGATGTTAACACCCTTGTCAGCTCTTGACCGATTTATACTCACATAATAGATAGCATGTTTGCATTCACGGCCACATCCATTGCTGCAGCATTTCATTCCCCTGGGACATGAGTTATCTCCTCTGCAGCGGACAGCACAATTCCCATAGGTTCCTTTGGGCACCCTGGGGCAGTGCCCTGAAACATACAATGGTGTTTGTGGAGTTTGGAATAGTCACTAACCAGGTATGAGAACTGCTGTTAGAGGTCGACAGGCTCAGTGCTGGCAGGACTCCCACCTCTTTCATTCCTTCCTTTGTACTCCTGGACCCTCCCTCAGCCTCGGCAGCTCCATCCTCACACTGAAGCCCCCATTTTCAGTCAGGCCCTTAGGAGAATGTTCTCCCTGCTGCAAAGGCTGCCCAGTCCCAGCAGGCAAGAAACCTGCTCTGTCATAAGCCTCTTCTTTCCACTTTAGAAGAAGATATTAGAAACATCTCTGATCCCAGACATCCGTCTTTCCACCTCACACGTACCCCATGTTCATCCCGGAGCTACTCCTTGTTGGAGCCCTACATCCCAGGCACATGTAGAGAGAGCCCCAACTTTTAATAAGGCCCCACCTGATCTGATAAGAAGATGCGGCCCTGGCTTCTATGGCTCAGTTGGTTACAGCATCGCCCCATATAACGAAAATTTGCAGGTTCTATCCCCACTTGGGGCATGTATGGTGGACAACCAATCGATGTTCTCTCTCACTTTGATATCTCTCTCTCTCTCTCTCTCTCTCTCTCTCTCTCTCTCTCTCTCTCTCTATATATATATATATATATATATATATATATATCCCTTGCCCTCTATCTCTAAAATCAATAAGCATATCTTCAGGGGAGAATTAAATAAAAAAGTAAGAATGGTAAACGCATGGTGATCACTTCTGAATGTTAAAGAAAGTGGTTCTGATCAATGCCAAATCTCCACTCTGCAGCCTGTTCCTGAGCCCACCATCCCAGGTAAGAAGCTGGGCTCTGAGCCTCCTCTGCTCTCAGGTAGGATTCCTCAGCACCCTTACCTCCATGACCACCTCTCTGAGCGAAGGCCATCTCCATCCCCAAGATGACAAAAGCCACTAGAACAAAGGCTGTGCCTGTCTTCATGGTGGCCTTTGATGTGAATGCACACACTGAACCCAGCCCCAATTTATACGCTCAGTGACACCAGAGGGGAGTGTGTGGTTGGGCAATACAACAGGAAATGTACAACATAATCTAGTTAATTTGTTCTATTTCATAACTGGTTTCTATCTAATTATGGTACGTTTTCTTGTAGATGCAAATCCAAACAGGAGAGTTCAGGCATTGCTACAACAAAACTTGGCACCATTTTCCCTGGTGTCATTAGAAAAAGTGGCCAAAGAAAAGAATTTTCTGTGTATGATTGAGATTTTCACAGTAAGAGCATAAACTATGAAGCTACGTGTTATTCCACCTGGTGCCTCCTGGAGGTCCCGTTCCAGGAGGATTCAATGTGCTTCTGGGAGAGATGGTGAACGGGTTGTGCTTTGGAGCCATCCAGGGCTGAGATCCCCAAGTAGGGGTGGAATGAGGACCTCCCCTTCATCACAAAGGTAGGTAGTAAGGTCGCTCATCTGAGGAGATGGATGTTCAAAGACCACAAGCTGGCAGGGCCGTTGGGGATGGAGAGACAGGGTCCACTCTTGATGGCGGGTGGTCTCCGAGCCTACCCTGCTCCATACTGAGAGGTCGCTAGAGAGAGGCCTGTGTGGGTGAGCTACAATGAGCTGGACGACAGGAAAAGAATGTTACAGAATTTCAGAGAAGGGGGTGTAAAGGTAAAACTCCAATGACTATAGGAATGAAGAGAAGCCTGCTTTGTCCTTGGGGGTCAGATCTGGGACAGGCACCTCATGAGCATCTGTGTGGAGGCCAGGATGAGGTACTCTTAGATCACAGGAACACTAAGTGAGCCAAGAGAGGAGGGCTCGACCAGCCATCCCAGGTAGTTAGCTCACACCCAGCATCTCAGACTCTTTGGATGCTCAAAGGGTACAACACCCAGGACCCCTACAGCTGAAGGAGGGACCAGAGTATCTGAAGAAGACATGCAGCTCGGTACAGGGTGGAGAAATATTGCCCAAGGCAGCACAGAGAACAACAAAGAGCAAAACAAACAGCAAGCCCAAATGCAAATCCGAGGTGTCTGGCCAGATGCCAGACTGCTCAGTAGCATGGCCTTGGTGCGTGTGTGGGGCCAAGGTGCACAGCCCCAAACAACTTGCAGGAGAACCCTACAGAGCACTCTTGGTAAGGGGAGAACTCCCTAATCCCTCTCTAAAAGTGACTAGACACAACTACTATCACTTAATTAACATCATCTTAATAAATACTTTCTCATGTGTTTGGTATGTATTTTCCTAAGTACTTTCTTATACTTTACAAACACACAGATGTCTATGCAAATATGTATCTTTGCTGCAGAAATGAAGTTATATTGTACAGTATTGTTTCGCTTTATTTACTTAACATTATGTCTTTTTGAAATATATTTTTTATTGACTGAGGAAGGGAGAGGGAGACATAGACAGATGCATCAATCATGAGAGAGGATCAGCTGCCTCCTGCATGCCTCCTACTAGGGATTGAGACCTAAACCTGGGCCTGTACACGGACCAGGAATCAAACGGTGACCACCTGGTTCATAGGTCGATGATCAACCACTGAACCACACTGGCTGTGCTTAACATTATGTGTTGGAGAGATTTCCATGTTAGTATCCCCCCCTTTTAAAATAGCCACTATCTAATATTCTATTATATAAGTGATTCATAATTTATTTAAACATATTTCAATTGCTGAATATTTAGGAGGTTTCTTTTTCATTAATGGTTTCATGCTATTTGCATGATATACTTTGTTTTTGCTTCTTTGTTTATATGTGTCAATATTTCCCCCTGAAAAGATGCCTAAGCATGGAAATACAAAGGATATGTTTACTGTAGAGTTGGAAGATATTGCCAAATTGCCCTACAAAAAGGCTGCACCCATTTACACACCCTCCAGCAGTGAAGGAGGCACTAATTTCCCAAATACTGACCTGATGAATTTGCATTCTTGCTTTCCCAAGTTAAAATTTTAATGCAATATTTCAAGCTGTGTATTCCCATATTTCCATTGGGATGTAACCCAGATGGGAATGCAGGGCAAAGAACTCTCATGGCAGTTATGCAAAAATTTAATTAGTGGAAATTACATATGGAAATATACTCTGGTATGTGCTACTCTACCACATGGAGCAAGGGTTCTGGCCTCTCCTGGTTTTGCTGATTCTGCAGTTCAAGAATGGGAGCTGCTAGGCTGCAAAGGAGGCCTCCCTTCAACAAAAACGGTACTGGGCTCCATTAAGCCTATGGTTACACACCAGGACCTGTGCCTGTATCACACCTGTCACCTCACTGAAGCCTCCTAAGCTGTGGGGTCACTTCCATTGGCCACCACATGTCACAGATGAAGGGACTGAGACTTGAAGGAAGCCCATGCTTTGCAAACACTTCGACCCCATCTCAGACCCACCAATGGGGAACTGCCAATGGGGAAGTTCAGAAAAGCTCCTCAAATGTTTTCATGTACATGGAAGTGAGGACCACCTCACCTACCTGATAAAACCTTTATTTCTGTGAAGAACTAAACAAAATGTCTCCATAAATAGTTGATTTCTAGTGACATTCACAAAATTGGAAATATGGCAAGTTCTCATGACATATTACTACTTGATAATATCCAGGTGTCTACACCAACCATCACACATATATAAAAAATTAACTGAGGAACAATATAGAGGTTCCTCAAAAAATTAAATATAGAATTACCACATAATCCAGCAATTCCACCTCTGGGTATATACCCCAAAGACTTGGGAGCAGGACCTCAAAGAGCTATTTGTACACTCATGTTTATAACAGCATGATCCATAAGCTAAGCATGGATACAACCTGAGTGTCCATTGACCAATAAATGAATAAGCAACATGTAGGATATAAATATAAGGAAATATTATTAAGCCTTCAAAAGGAAGGACATTCTTCAGTATGCCACAACATGGGTGAACCTTAAGGACATCATGTTAAGTGAAATAAGCCACTCCAAAACACAAATATTGTGTGGTTCCACTTATATGAAGTACTTAGAGTAGTCAAATCGTCGATACAGAAGGTATAAAGGTGGTTTCCAGGAGCTGGTGGGGAGGAGAGATGGGGAGTTATTGTTTAATGGCATAGACTTTCAGATTTACAAGATGAAAAGAGTTATGGAGATGCGTGGTGGTGATGGCTACACAACAATATGAGTGAGTTTAATACCACTGAACTATACGCTTAAAAATGAATATGAGGGGCCCAGGTTGTAGCCTTGATTCCCAGTAGGGGGTGTGCAGGAGGCGGCCAATCAATGATTCTCTCTCATCACTGATGTTTTTATCTCCCTCTCCTCCCTTCCACTCTGAAATCAAGAAAAATATATTTTTAAAAGATAAATAAATAAAAATGGTTATGATGTTAAATTTTGTTATGTGTATTTTAATGCAATAAAAAACACAATAACGGATAAACCAAGATGGCGGCATAGGTAAACACCGGAAATTGCTGCCTCTGACAACAACTTCAAAAATACAACTAAAAGACAGAATGGACATCCTCCAGAACCACAGGAAGGCTGGCTGAGTGGAAATTCTACAACTAGAAGAAAAGAGAAAAGCACACTGAGACTCAGAGGAGCTACGAAAGTAAAGTGCAGAGGTACGGAGGCTCCGGCGCGAGCACAAAGGGGCTGGCACCTGAGGATGCGGCTGTCTTTTTGAATCCGGAGGGAGTCACAAGCTCCTGACTGCTCTGAACTCCGGTTCAGGGAAATCTCTGGGGACCCAGGGCTCATGCGGGGAGAAACTTGACGGTCTAGCAGCAGGCAGAACTCGGAACTTGAGGGCGGCTTTCCCTCAGAGGTACTGGCAGCAATTACCGGGACACTGAGAGGCGCGGCCCCTTAGGGCATGGCTGAGAATCAGCCATAGCTGCTTGCTCTACCCTGTTGCTTCCGAGACCCCGCCCATCCAGGCTGCGGCAAAGGCTTTTGCATATGAATGCCCAGGCCCTTTGCAACCTGAAAATTACCTAACAAATTGCAGCTGGGCCAGACAGACCCAGAACTTCCAAGAGAAGGCCCAAGGCCCCACAGCAGCTTGCATTGCTTCACAGCTGGGCCTCATCTGGGAACCCACAAACCCCCAAAAAGGAAGGGGAATCTGCATATCTCTTCGTAGCTCCTGCTGGGTAACCTCAGGAAGAGGCTGAATTAGCACCTCCTTAGACCCAAGAGCCAGTGTACCCAGTGGTCAGAGTGGGACCATCCAGATTACAACTCCTCAGATTCATAAGGAACACACTCAGGGGGCAGACTCAGTGAGCACCAAAGCCCCACTGAAGCATGTCTTGCCCCAGAAGGGTGTCTTCAGCACAGTTCTCCCACTGGCAGACACAGCTGATTCTCACTGCCAATTGGCCTGGACGTCAATTCCTTCCAGTGACACCTACAACAATCAAGGCATAACTACAACAAGACTGTGCACAAAGCCCACAAGGGGGTGCACCAAGAGTGTCCACCTCAGGTAACTGGGGAGGCTGAGCCACTGGGCCCTGTAGGACACCTAGCACACAAAACCACTCTACCAACACAGGGAAGCAGGCAAAATGCGAAGACAAAGAAACAGGTCACAAATGACAGAAATGGAGGACAGCAAACGACTGGATATAGAGTTCAAAACCACATTTCTAAGGTTTTTCAAGAATTTCATGGAAACCGCCAACAAATTTAGTGAGACCCTGGAGGATATGAAAAAAGACCAACTAGAAATTAGCATACACTGACTGAAATAAAAAATAATATACAGAGATCCAGCAGCAGACAAGAGGATCCCAAGAATCAAGTCAAAGATTTGAAATGCGAAGAAACAAAAAATACCAAACCGAAAAAGCAAAAAGAAAACAGAATCCAAAAATATGAAGATAGTGTAAGGAGCCTCTGGGACAACTTCAAGCGTACCAACATCAGAATTATAGGGGTACCAGAAGAAGAGAGAGGGCAAGATATTGAAAACCTATTTGAAGAAATAATGA